GTAACATGCATACGATCAAACTCAAGAAACGCCAATGTCGAAAACGCGGAAGCGGAAGGATAGTGACCACCCAACATACACAACAAAGAAGAGACCTAACCCTAACCCAAACCCTAACCCTCCCTATCTCTATCCCTACCCCACCCCTATCCCTGTCCCTACCCCACCCTACCCCTCGTTTCTACTCTGTCTCATTGTGGTCGCTCGTTACGGAAGTCCTTCCGAAAACGCGAATTTATAACAGGCATGTCCAAGTCACATTAGGATCTAGATTCCAGTGTGGGCTATAACAAGTCTAAGACTCTTTAAGTGGATTCGTTAAGCGAGGACGAAGAATCATGAAGAGACAGATAAGAACTCAGACTCAGAGCTCACGCCGGCACCACATTCCACGGGGGAGGAATGTCTTCGGAACGATATATCGCACAAAAACTTTGCTGAAGAATAAAACTGCCACCCCCTTACCCCCCCCCCCTTACACCAACGTCTCGTGGAAATCGCACCGCTCACGCAAAAAAAGGTGAGCAGTCTGGCGTAATGTACGCAGAAATCTTGATTAGACACAGGGAAAAAAATTCTCCCCCTAAAAATTCCAGCGCAAGAGTGAGTAAATCAACTACTGGTCGGTGGGTTTCCCGCTCAGCCTGTTGTGAGCGTCACAGTGTTGCAGTGAGCAGTTCACCACCGCAAGCACACAACAAACAAACACACACACACAGACACACAGACACACACACACACACACACACACACACACACACACACACACACACACACACACACACCGCTAACGCTAGACTACTACACGTTCTAACCTGTTGCCAGCGATCCTCGAGTGAAGGCTGCGCCGAAAAGTAACCCGTGTCGTGAACTACTTGCAGCTCCCGAAATATGTTGCTGCTCGGCAGAATATCCATCTTGAGATGAGAAATCCCCTCGGAGAAACAACAAAGTCCTAAGTCAACGATATGCGAAGAGTAGCCTAGCACGGATCATCTAAACATGAGAGACTGTTGTTGTCAGAGCGGCTGTCAGCAGTTACCGTTACAGTTGTAAGCTAGCAGACGATCGGCCGACTTGTATGGATCGCCGCCATGGAGTGGCACACACAGACACCACACACACACACACACGCTCAAACAGCCAACAAGTCTCACGGCTGTTATCGTTCGTTCACTGGCTGAACCATTCACGCGGAACTTCTTGGCAGGACTCATTCTCCGCCCGCCCGCCGTGTCCTCGCTACGTGACCTCGGAAAACTCCGCCGCCTTTCGGCCACGCCACTTGTGGGAACTATAAGCAGCCGACCAATCAAAACGAGGGGTTTCCCGACCTACAAACGGAAGGAATGTTACATAAGCCAATGAGGGGACAGAGTTTTCTAGTGTTGTAACATAGGCCTATGTGTAAATACCCGAGCAATGCACCCCTTAATAGGGAGATTGGGAAATGTATTGATCTCTCGCTCTATTTATAGATCGTCTATAAAGTCCGGCGCCACTTCGTGATCGACGCAGTTTTACAACTGACTCACAAGAGGCAACAACAGAGTCGAGCGATCGTGTCTCCCTGTAGCTCAGTGAGGCCAGAACAGAAACTTTAACACTCTTCTTCTACTGTTCATTTACTTGCTTTTAACGCCCGAGGTGTTTAACTGCCAGTTTCGTGACATCCAGGGATTACTAATTATATCACTGTTGACTATTGCCACTTAGTGAAAGCTGATTGTGTCCATGTCATGAGACGCGACGATCATTTCGGGGGGTGGTTTTTTAAAAAACTTTTTTTCTTTAGCTTTCTTCAGCTTTCATTTCTCTACTGCTTACTTTCTCAATGTAGCATGTTACACGAATGTTACCAAAATGTTTTTAAAGTGATTTTTTTCGGGAGGGGGGTCATCGAGGGAGGGGG